CCCCAAAACCCCAAAACCCCAAAACCCCAATAAGTAATTTTATTGCAAAAACTTGAGATCAAAATATGTTTTAATTTGAATAATATCTCATTTCTTTTTATTTTTGGCTTGCTTTTACTTTTGAGAATCAGCTGCTTATTAATCTTTGTTTTTATCTTGCTCTTTTTTGTCTACTACTTCTTCTTCCACTTCACTTTCGGTCTCTTCTACCTTTCTGCTCTTTTTTGCTTTTCGCTATTCTACAACTGGCGCAGCTTTATTTTATTTAAAGAGAAAAGCAATGATTCCTAAGAGGACTAGAACAAAGTACTTGGATGTTACAATCTAGTCTGCATATTCCATAAATTCATCAATATACATTCCTAAAGTTTTCTTCTTTTGAAGGTTACTAATGTCTGATGTTACACTGGGTTTAGCTGGCCCTTAGGCATATTCTTTCTTGACATTAACCTTAACATCAATTTCAGGTTGCTCTAATTAAGGAACTTCCTATTAAATCTCACTCTCCTTGACAACTGAATTATCATCTGAGGTAGAAATAGCTGGCTTTTTAGCAGCTGCTTTAGTTGTAGATGCTTTTGTTGTTGTTGTAGTAGTAGTAGTTTTAGTGGTTGTTGTTGTTGGTTTTGTGGTTGTAGTTGTAGTCTTCGTAGTTGTAGTTGTAGAAGTTGAAGATGACTAAACAGGTTTGGCTTAAGGAACATCAATATCTAAATTCTCTTTGCCTATAATGTCTGCAAAACTTTGTATTTTTTCATTTGGAGGTTTAGGGAACATTTGAAAATCGGGTGGAAGTTTAGGCGCTTCATTGAATTTTTATACTGGTGGCAATTTAAGAATCTATCTTTCCTCTTCCTCTGAAACCTAATTTATGAGTTATGCTGAGAATAATCATTACGTCAAATAGCATATCGAATACTTCGAAATCGCTTTGCAAAATCTTCAAATTAGCAATATCTTTTAAGAAAGCATACTTGTTAGTAATCTAGTTGACCTTATTTACATCAAAGGTGGCTGGATTGTACTCAAATCCCTTAACGACAAACTATACTCAATCAGAATACAAATATTACATTATTTGCAGTGATCTAATCAATGTTATTATAGCAATGGGCTGCCATCTTGTAGTAAATCCTAAGCTTTTGCTTCTCATTAATATCTTGTTTATCTTAAGATTTGATTTGATCAACTTCGTACTTTGATAGATAAGCACAGACGTACAATTTCTGATATTAATCAATCTCATCCTAGTAATCAGTTTATGGAGCTCCTCGAATGTAACCAAGCAGAAGTCCGATGGTAAACACAAGTATTTAAGTCCTCATATTAAATGCTCTTCAATAATTATTATGATAATGAAAAATTTTCTTAGTTAATTATTTATTATAATCTTTTAATCTCATATCCTTAAATATGAGAACTCTGGGGTTTTGGGGTTTTGGGGTTTTGGGG